CAATTTGCTGAGTAAATGCTATACCTCACTCCTACAGGAAAGCATTGCATTGGTCAGCTGCCAATTCCTGGGGAATGAACCCTGTGAGATTATTTACATGCATCCCAGTTAATCAATTAATGTTTGTAAAGCACTTTAACTTGGAAAGCACTCTTATAAATATTTGGTATTATCATATAATTACACTACCACATCTCAATTAAATGTGCAATTGGGCATGGTTTAATTATGCAATTAAATTGTCACCAGAAGTATTTCAAATGTAGGTATTTCACTCTATGCTGACCCTCAAGTCTAGCATGAGAACCTGAAGCAAAATGAGGACTCTTGACTTTTGAAACTCTGGAGAGTTTCTGATCAGAATGAATGTCTCCTTTGCTAGCACATTTTTTTTTATATATATATATATTATTATTTTTTTCTGCAACCACAAATATAGGTAACTCTTTGCTTCTATGTGACTTACATCCTGAATATTTCTTGTGTGCGGCACAAAGACTGGTCTGCTTTCTTGTTTGTTTTTGACTTTGCTGCCTTCCTTCATTAATATAATGGAAGAAAAATGTCACTCGGGATCTTGTCTCAGATTTATATCCTTCAGGGTTATGCTTTATCAATGGTATGTATACTGTGCTGTTTGATGTACTGAAGAAAATTAAAACAATTAAATGCTGTAGCATTCTCCATTTCCTCCAGAGAGTAAAAAAGACATTAAGCCCCAAATAACAATATATAAGTTGCCGTCTGATTATTTGCAATATAGGAAATATTGCTTCCTACTCCCTTCTCTTGGGTTTTGCTGTGGTCTGTTGGAAGGAAAGGAAAGGAAAGGAAAGGAAAGGAAAGGAAAGGAAGGAAAGGAAAGGAAAGGAAAGGAAAGGAAAGGAAAGGAAAGGAAAGGGAAAGGAAAGGAAAGGAAAGGAAAGGAGGAAAGGAAAGGAGAAAGGAAAGGAAAGGAAAGGAAAGGAAAGGAAAGGAAAGGAAAGGAAAGGAAGGAAAGGAAAGGAAAGGAAAGGAAAGGAAAGGAAAGGAAAGGAAAGGAAAGGAAAGGGAAGGAAGGAGGAAGGAAGGAAGGAAGGAAGGAAGGAAGGAAGGAAGGAAGGAGGAAGGAAGGAAGGAAGAGGAAGGAAGGAAGGAAGGAAGGAAGGAAGGAAGGAAGGAAGGAAGGAAGGAAGGAAGAGAGAAAAGAGAAGAAGAGAAAGAAGAAAGAGAGAAAGAGAAAAGAGAAAGAGAGAAAGAGAGAAAGAGAGAGAGAGAGAGAGAGAGAGAGAGAGAGAGAGAAAGAAAGAAAGAAAGAAAGAAAGAAAGAAAGAAAGAAAGAAAGAAAGAAAGAAAGAAAGAAAGAAAGAAAGAAAGAAAGAAAGAAAGAAAGAAAGAAAGAAAGAAAGAAAGAAAGAAAGAAAAGATCTGGTATTAATTTTTCATAGTATATTTTATACTCTTCTAACTTTTTCCAGCTATAGGAAATGCTATTATTTCTAAGCTTTTCTCCACGAATATAAGTGCTATAAAACTGTGGAATTTGAGAGGGGCAGCAGGTTTTTTTTTTTTGTTTTGTTTGCTTTTTGACTTTTCTCATGATTAGAAACATTAATAGACTATCTTGATTTATTAGATGAAGTACTTACTTTCCTAGATGGCAGAAGTGGTTAGTTTCCTAGGTGGCAGTATTGTTACCATACTTCCCATTCCTCCTTTCTTCCCTTCCCCCTCTGATGCTCAAATTCTCTCTTCTTCACTCCTTGTCATTTCTTCATGTCAATTAAATGCTCTTTGGGAAGATGGATAGGCAGCTTTTGTATATTTGTACAGCACCTGCACAAGGCTGTAGTTGAGGTCTCTAGATGTAATCACAACTGAAACAATAGCACACCTGCAACTCCATGTATATTGGCAACAATTTGCTCCACAATGAACCTAAGATAGTTTTCAATGCAGAACTGTCATTAATTCTTTCTATTTCTTTCTTGAATGGCTGTATGTAAGAGCTACAACCTTGCCTCAGAAAAAAAATGAGTTCCACCAGAATGATACCAGAGGACTAGAATAAGAAAAACTCTTCAGGGCAGGAACTACCTCTGAGTGTGTCTGAATAGCATTTGCTGACACCAGGACTCTTGTGAGTGTCTAAGATGCAATTACATAACGCATATATATAAAATGGAATGTGTCATTACTGCAGTGTTAAGCTATATTTGGAAACCACAACAAGAAAAGTACTTTTTTTTTTTTTTTTTTTAATTTCACTGTGGGTAAAAAGAGTCTGATATATGAAGCATTTTATTAGACCATCTTTTTATTTTAATAACTGCTAATTTGCACACCTAACATCAATTGCTGGTACAATTAATTGTGGATGCAAATGAGAATGTTTAGCTGTCTAATCACCTGATTGTGTCTATAAATCAGTGACAGTAATTATGTGCGTAAATGCTCATTTCAGCCTGCAATTAATTTGGTCAAAATTGATAGGACCAGGAAAAAAAAAAAAAAAAGAAAAAACAAACAAACAAACAAAAACCACCTCAGGCTGAAATTTGGTCCCCAGTGTGTAAAAAGAGAAAGTATCTTCTTCCTCTGCCTCTTGTGTCTAAATTGCAGAGAGCTAAGTAGACAAAGAGCAATGACTCCCCAGTCCCCAATAACTCACTGCCAATGTTTCACAATAAAGTGCAATGGGAGAGGAAATATTTCCATAAGGGTTCATTAATCACAAAGTATTTGCCATGCACAACCACTCTGCAGAGCAGGTAAAGAACCCTCGGGGATGTTGCCTGGCACAGCTTGTCATTTTCATAATAGGAAAAGTATTTTTTGCACAAATGCTGTAGAACCGAAGTTGCAGATGGCTCCATTGGCAGGGCTGGAGCCTCCTGGCACAATGCTAGGCAGCCAAAGCTACTTTAGATATTTATAGCAAGGGTTAGTGATAGCTCAAAAGAAGGATGCTGAAGATGCTGTCTGCCCCACTGTGTGCAATATTCCCAGGTGCGCCCCTTGAAAGGACATATGCGACAGGCCAAAAGCAAACAAACACAAAACATAAACTGCAGAATGATATGCAAGTCTTACCTGTCCCTGCTGTGGGGCAGAACACTAGGGAAAGGTCTAGGAACAATTAAACTAATTGCAACTGAGAACCTGGGGATCCAACAGACAACACTAGCAGAACTATATGGAAAAGATGGTTTTCCACCTCCATAGCTTCTTCGAGAATTGAGCATGAGGTCATTTCACACTACCTAACCTTGAGGACACAGAGAGCCCCTGTTATCCCAGTATACTCTAACCCATCTGGACCTGCTCAGTTTATTTGCATGAGAGGTGGGGTTGATACCTTGCTTACTGTACCTCTGTGGTCTTCGTCTCTGAGTCGTTCATTGCTACTTCACTCCCTGATGGAACTCTGATAAAATTCAGAACCACCTGATATAATTCTAATTTCAGTGTGAATGTAATGTGTTTTCCTTATATACCACTACAATGTGCAGCAAAAATGCTGCAGGCTCAGATATGTGTTCTCAGTTCTTTGAGCTACTCCTTGTTTGTGCTTGATGCACGGTCCTGAGTGAAGCTATTGCTCTGCTGTGATATGTGCATTGGGTACAAGGACAGTGGTCATTTGCTGGGACAACTGAATCTTGGGCTGTTCTGACAGACAATTTGAGCTATTGTCAGGCAATGGGTGTTTTTGTTGTTGTTGTTGTTAGGTGGCTGTTCAGGACATAAAACCTTGCATGTGACACTCTTCCAAGGGCTGACCCATGTGATCTATTTGCCTAAGTATCAAAAGAGGTTTTAGCTCCCGTCAACAATGTGCAACACTGCAGGTTCCCTTTTCCAAGGCTGTTACTTGGACCCACTGTGTGCTAAGGACTTTGTGGCTTCTAGGCATCCAGAAGAGAGCTCCTGGTCTACCTGATGCCGAGCCTGGCTCTGTCAGGAACTGAAAATCATTCTTTTTTTCTACATATGAAACTACAACTTGTGGGATTTCAATTCCAGAATATTTTAAAAGTTCTGTTCTATTTTGTTTTATTTTTTTGGTCTGATTGGGGATGAAAATCTTACCCAAGAATTACCACGGAATACAGATTTCTTAGCTGAAATTTCCTGCTTCCTTCAGGATCTTGGTGGGATGGTTACAATGAAGAATAACATATCTGAAAGAGGAGAGGCTGGAGAAGACTCAGCCTGACCTACAGACTGACAGACATAGCTTTCAGAAACAATTCAGCTGACACATGGATTCTGCCCATTACTTCTCTCATCTGCTAGTTACCACTATCAGCAGCAGCAGCCTGTTGGGCTCCTGGCTCCTGCTGCTGCTCCCTGCTGCTGTGGCACGTGAGTGCTCTTAGTGAGTCATTTCCAACCACCAAGGGGACTCACAGCCACATCTCCACTTCTCCTAAAATAGAAGCTCACTGCTAGATCTTCTTTCCCTCTAAAACAGGCAACCTATGAGAAAAAGCACTATACTTTTGGCAGTATCTGAAACATAATAATAAACTCACTAGAGCTGTGGAGAAGCAGAACTATGTTCTAAACAATAACAAGGGCCCAAGTTGGCAGTGCAGGTGGCCTTCCAAGGCAAAATAGAGCCACATGGAAATGGGCTCCATTCTTTGTAGTCTGTAGTCTTTGCAGTAGAGGCCATTGCAGAATCAGCTTTTCTTTTCATTCCATTATTTGAAAAAATCTCTGAGGGAGGCCATATAATCAACGCATCCTCCTCACATTTCAGTTCAGAAAACTGACATTGAAAGGAATACTATTTAACAAATAAAATAATACTAAGCTTTTTAAACAGTTTTATGAAAGCAAGTCTTGTCTGTAGTCTAGTTTACTCTTACCACATCAACTATTATAAATAGCAGGATGATATTCCTTTTAAATAAACATTCATTACACTGGGAAAATGTGGGTTATTTTCAAGCACAAGTGTTAGCAGTAAAACATTATTCTGCATTTCTATAACCTCTCTTTTTTATTTCTAGGTATTTCCACACTATATATTTGGGTATCCGGAGTCGACGGAGTGGAGAGAATGACAGATGGCGGTTTTATTGGAAAATGGTGTATGAGTATGCAGATGTGAGTATGCTGCATTTGCTAGCCACGTTTCTGGAAAGTGCACCACAGCTGGTCCTGCAGCTCTGTATTGTTGTGCAGACTCGTACACTTCAGGCTCTCCAAGGTAGGGGTTCATTTAATCTATTTGTTTTTTATCATTTTAGGAAGATGTAATTCCTATACATACATATTTATCCTTTTAAACCGCTATGTGCCTTGCATAAGAGCAGATCTTGCCTGCTAGCTGCTATTAAGCTATTAAGCTGTTAACTATGACTTCTGTCAAGAAAGCCTGTGCTGTTGGAGTTTTTTAGCGTTTCTTATTGGCCCTGGATTGTGGGTAGGATTTACAATGTTTTGCTTTCTGCACATCCTTGTAATAGAAGAGCTCTTCTGATTATCCACCGGGCCAATGTGAAAATTGCATCAATCAAACTACTGCTCCTCTCCCTATGTTTCTTTCTGTGAATGCTCAAAACCCTCCTGAACTCCAGTAATAATGTTCGTAGGGTATTATGCAAAATAGAAAACAGCACAGCAGAAAGCAGATATTCTGTGAAGAAAGTGCCAGAATCTGTGGAATACATGTCCATCAGTTCTCAGCCATGTTTATCTGAAATAATACAAGTCAGCCGCTGAGCATTACAAGAACACTCATTCCTTCAAGCTCTGGGTTTTCTCCGAAGGCTGATGCTTTCAGCAAGCATGATTACGTCTTTAAAATGGTAAATGCATGCACATGTCCTTCCAGGGGATTGTCAGTCACTGGAACGGGTATAAAAATACCTCATTCTCCACTTCTTTTTTGATGCTACTTTTGGATATCTGGCAGCTTTCCATTCATGTTGTACCATTGCTTTGTCTTATGGCTGAATTTGGGCAGAAATTATCAGCAAGTGAATGAGATGAATGAGAACTTGGGATCCCTTTGTCACGGATGTTATAAGGCAGTGAAGAGGGGAAGGGAGGAATGGAGAAGGGGGGGAGGACAGAGGGAGGAAGGAAATACAACACTTTTGCCATTTGTTTTTTAAGAAAATTCATGTGTATGCCGCTGTACAAGATTGAACAGTGACAGCACCTTGCTCCAAGAAGCTCTCAGTCTCATCAGCTTATTATGAGTAAACATGCAGTGAGACTGTTCAGGTGTAAAAGAACTGGGAATAAAGTGGATAACTGTGTGAATACCTTGATTCTGGGCAGTTTCCTGTGGATGGATCAGAGGTTTATCAGTTACTCAACTTTGAACTGATGTCTAGTACAGGCTCTCCTGGTTCCTGTGGTGGTTTGTTTTGTTCTGTTTTGTTTCTTAGTTTTGTTTCTTTAGATCTGAAACCCTCTCACCTTAAGGGGAAAAGAAAGCCAAAGTTTCTATTTTAATTAGTCGCCTAAGAACTTCCTACAGCTATTTCTCAAAATGCTGCTGCCCCACACCAACAAGTCCAAACCCTTATTGTTCAAGAGATGGTATTATCACTTCAAGAAGCTTTGGCCCTCCAGAAAAAAATGCTCCAGAGAGAGACTCAGGAGATTAACATAGCCTGAATACTGTATGGTCAGCTGTAATTGAGCTATCTTCATAAACTATTAATACAGAAGGCCTCTCGCATTCATTTTTGTGCAATAACAGATCTGTCTAAGAGAAATGTGGCTGGTGAGTAGGCACTAAGCCTGTGATGTACTCTGTAAATGGTTGTTAATTAGAGAAAACCTGAAATGCTTCAATTTAGAAGGCAAAAATGGTTCCTGAAGCCTGCAATCAACTCTGTAAAATCTGTGTATCAGAAACGAGAAAGGGATAAAACTATAATTATGCATTTCAGCTGAGAAGGCTGACAATATTTACTGATTCTGTCTTCCCCCATTTTCTTCCAACACCTCAGGAGAAAAGGCCCCATATAAAAAAAATTAGGAAAACTAAACAAGGTTGTAGCATTTTCTTAAACACTGGTATCATTATATTCTCCTGATGAAACTTAATATGTTAACATACTTTGCCAGCTGGGAAAATCTTTTTTCTATTCTCTGTACTTCTTTAAAGAAATGCTAAAGATAACGCATTGTACTATAGGTTGGAAGATTTGTTGTGAGGTTGCATAAGGAGAGCATAATTTCTCTCAGTGGTATCATGCTTCAGCTGGGTGTTTAGAAAGGCTATCCGTACTGTACATGCTTCAGCTAGCTGTCTGCTCACTGAGCCTGTTACAAATATTTCTAACAAGGATCAATGAACAGAGGTTTTGATTGATTTTCTTTGTTTAGAGAAAGCTGCTTGTTTTTTTGTTGTCGTTCCTTTAGCTCTCTCTCCCACAGGATAGCATTATCATGACAATTGGGAAGTGCTGACATTGCCGGTCCACCTCCTTAAAAGTGTGCTTGCATTACAAACCACAAATTTGGCATGGGGAGCAAGTGATACTGGAAACGTTTTGTTCTCTAAGCAGGGTATTTCTAATATAACGCCATTAATGCCCACAAGAAAAACTGTTAAATATTTTATTTATGAAACTTCATTTATTTCATTCTAAATGCACCAATATAGCCTCATTCCCAACAGGAGAATGCTGTCAGCATCGCTGTAAATCCCCTGTTTTGTAATGGGTGTTGGCTAGGTGCATTTTCCTGGTTCTTTCAGTCCTTAAGCCTTGCTAATAAAGGTAAAAATACATACTGACATGTGCAGAAGTCCTTATGAAGATCAAGAAAAATGTAACGCGATGCATGCAAATCTTCTCTCTCAGTCTTCCATACAGTGCAGGGAGGGCCATTTCAAAAGCCCAGAGGATGCACCATAAGGATCCTTTAAGATCCTTGCTTGGGATCCCTAAGTATGAAATAAGAAAATGCATTGTTAACTTCTAGCAAGGACTATGTATCACTGTACCGTGACCGCTGCAGCAAAACATTGCTTAGGCAGGAGGCCATAGACAGTCAATACAGAGTGCCTTCATTCTTGGGCATTGGTACACAAAGAAATTTGAATATTGATAAAATGGTATCAAAATATCATGCTTATTAACTTCAAATTTTATTCTTCTTTGAGATTTCATCAAAACTTGAAGAATTAGAGGCAATGATCTTTCTTATTCTGCCTGCAGTTAGCAGCCATCTCCCTCCCAGAGTGAAAGGTATCAAACAGGTTATGGGGGAAGCTGATGATTCCTGAGCACTAATTGCTCAAGAAGATAAACAAGTTCATTATGATGCTGTACTAAATTGGAGCTCTGCTAATCTTCTCTCACTCATTTTACCTATTTACCTTCACCTTTTCCATCCTGGTCCTTTGTGTCTGAGGAAATATCTACTGTCTAGAAGACAGAAGTGCCCAGAAAATAAGTAATTCCTCATTCTTTTCCTTGTGGGAGTCTGTTTCCTTTCTTTTCTCTTCATGCGCTCTGAGCACAGTACTCCCACGACAGCTTCTCTGCTGAGCCAGCAGCACCTCCAAACTGCATTGCCTTTTTTGTAATTACTCTGTAGAAAAGTAATCTAAGAAGCTTCATGGTGGGAGTCACTAGCTTCAACAGCCTTATTCTAGGTGGGAACTGTATGAGGAATGAGGCAACTCTGTATGTGTGGGGGACAATAGCAGAAAGTCCACAGAAACAACTGATGCTCATCCTACATCCATCTGTTTGCATAAGGACATATATGTAGGATAGAAGTGTCTAAATTGTCTGCAGACATGCTAGTTCAGCTACTAGAAACAGTCTAACAGCAATATCCCAGAGGCCAGGGTGAGCAAAATGATCTTAGTGCAAGCCTATACCAACCATCTGAAACTCTTTGTGGGCTTGAGCACTTCTCTCCATATTTTCAATTGCACTTCCAGGGCTGGGCAACCAGGCCCTTCAGTTAGACCTTTGGTTCTTCAGGACCACAGAGAGATGAAATAGCAAAAGCTGAACGTGTTTGGATTATAGGATTACCCCATAAATTCATTCATAGTGCCAGCACTGGAGGGGAAGGGGGACACAAGGTCAGCATGGGTCAGTCTGTCATATCATTTTGGAACCATTCCCTCAGACTGGCAAACATCCTTGGGCCTTTTCTTTTTATTTTTTGGGGTTTTCCCATGGTGACATTTGATTTTAGAAAGACTCCCCGTGTTAACATTTGTGAAAACAAGCAGGCAAAACAGCCTGCAGTTCTTACTGGAACTCCTTTATGTTAGCATAGACTTACTGCTATCTTATTCAAGGGCATGGTGTTGTAGCTACTCCTAGATTAGCAGATAGATAAGATTCCTCCCTGGATTTACCACACATTTCATTATGTATATTATATTAATTAAGACATTTTTTAAATTATAGATTAGTTTCTCATTCTTGTTTACTGCATATTATGCTGGCTAGTCAGCACTTGACATTTTATTCTCCATCAGCCCCTGGGGAGTTTGCTCTGGCTTCTCCATACAGTACTATTTATCAAAGTCGCTATCAAATTTTGATCAAAGTCTAATCAAAGTTTTTTATCACATAAGGCTACAGTTCTTTATACAGACTGACAGTAGTGCAGAAGGAGAATGAGAAGTTTGGAACAGTTCATAAATTCATCAATTTTGTTGAAGTTACCACACACACACTCACGGGGCCACTGGATTCTGCTGAAACCACATTTCCATGAAGTCTCTCTGGCCAACCATCTTCCCATTTTCTACCAGCTCTGCTGGAAACTCCAACACTGTTTGTGTGCTGACACACAAATGTCCACAGTGCCAACAAGGATCAATCTCTAGACTTTCTGCTCCAAACCGGTCACTTTTCCTGCCTGGGCTGAGCAAGAATTTCAGAGAATTGCTGGTAGTTTATGACATGGCTGATAGGCCCTAGCTTTATCTGACAGAAGGAAATTATGTGTTAGCTAGTTCATTATAAAATTGTCTGGCAAAACTCATCCTCAAGCATCAGGAATTCAAACTCTGTTCACATCAGTGCAATAAACTGAAAGTCATTTAAGTTTATATATATTTTTATTTTATTTTGTGTGTGTGTGTGTGTGAGGACAATGCTGTGCTTTACAAGGTTTTTTCTTGTTTTGTGACCTTCACAGCAACTTTGGATTGCTGTGTAAAACGCTGCATACATTTGCAGTGCTCTTTAAATAAATAAATAAAAGAAAAAG